CGTGAAGGGTACGTTAACAAGAACCATAACATTCAAAATATATATGCACAACTTGGTGGCAACCCAGATTCATAAATGAACTCTACTGGTGCTAACAAACTGAAAACAACAACACATAATAGTCAGAGACTTTAACACCCCACTGACAGGCACAGGCACAGATTTCTCAAACAAAAATCAACAAAGGAAATAATGGATTCTATATACTCATAGAACAAATGGCCTGACATTTACAGGACATTCTAGCCCCAAAACGAGCTGAATTATATATTCTTCTCATCAGCTCATGGTCATTCTCTAGATGACCATAGTAGTACACACAAGCACGTCTCAACAACTTTTAAAAACTAGAATTACGTTATGTGTATCTTTCAGACCAACATGAAAATAAATTGTACGAAATCATCCTAACAGGATGTTCTCAGTTTTCACACAACAACAACAACCTTCTCTGATGACACTTCACTAAACAAGGAATTCAAGATGGAAGTCAGAAAGATTCTTTGAACTTAAATACAAAGGTGACACAGAGTTACCAAAACCTGTGGACACAGCTAAAGCATTCCTGAAGAGGAAGTTTATTTCCAGTAAATGCCTGTATCCAAAAAAATCAAAAAGATCACAAATAGACCAAATAATGAAATCATCTCAAAGGCTGGAAAAGAAGAAGACCAACCCCAAACAGAAGAAGTGAAATCATTAAGATCAAATCAGAACTACAATGAAAATAGCAACAGGAAATATATAGGGAAGATTAATAAAAAAACAGTTGGTTCTTTGAAAAATAAACAAAATTGGCACCACCATTGTCTAGTACTAACCGAAAGCAGAAAGACAACTCCTCTAATAAGTCCATCAGAAACAAATAAAGAATAAGTTAACAACTGATGCATGCAGATACAAGATAATATTTGGATGAATATAACTCACAAAATAGTACTATGCATTACTAAACTGTGTGCCAAAATGTGTGAGGAAATGGACAATTTCGTTGGAACATACACACGCCTTCCAGGGTCAGCCCAGGAAGAAATAGAATTCTCAATAGACAAATATCAAGTTACTGAAATTGAAACATGCAATGAAAACATCCTAAAATGAAAAGTCCTGGTACAGATGGTTTCACACCCCAATTATACACACCGTACAAAGAAGAATGGTGCCGTACCTGCAGAATCTATTCAAGAGGCACATCGAGAAGGATGAATCTCCCCGACATATTTTATGAAAGCTCGCGAACATTAAACGCCTTGAATACCAAAACCAGGAGAATGAATGCAACAAAAAAGAAAACTACAGACCTAAAAATCGCCTGTATGAACGTATAGATGCAAAAATTCTCAACAATCCTTAGCCAATCAAATCAGGTGTTTGTCAAGAAAATAATTTCATCACAACCAAGTGGGTTTCTCCAACAAGGATCGAAGGGTGGTTCAACATACCAAAACTATAAAATAAATTCTCACTCATAACCACTAATGGTGTTCAAAATTCACCATATACAACATAGAAGATCTCTCTGAGGGGATGGGTATATACAACCACAATGAGTAAGATGTGCAACATTTGGGGGATGGACATGCTTGAAGCTCTTACTCGAGGGGGGAGAGGGTACATGGGCAATATATGTGACCTTAACACCTGTACCCCCATAATATGCTAAAATAAAAATTTTTAAAAAACCTGCAAAAAAAAAAAAAGTGACCTACTTGAGTTCTGGAACCATATCCTATTAATTTTTGTATCCCCAGAACCTGGCCCAGTGTCTGGTACACTGGAGGTGCTCAGCAAAGGTTTGCTAGATTGAATTAAATCTGTATCCTGCAGACTTTTGCTCTTGCTGCCTTCCCTAGACTGCTAGCCACAGCAGGGTACAAGAGGATTAGAAGGGCTTTGCAGAGCAGAACTCAGATTAGAGCATTTGAGCACTACGGGACTGCGCTTCTCTGCAGATGTTTTTCCTCAGTGCAATCTCAGGAGAGTTTCTTAAATTGGGACAGGCTGTGATGTTGTATCCAAATCACTCAGCTAAGCCTTCTGAGACATTTGCCAGAATTCACACCAACATAAACAGCTCAATCAAAGAAGGTGTGCAAATTCTTCTTTTCATAAAATGAAACAAGTATCTTGCTTGAGGGGAAAAAGAAAAAGACAGTCGTTTGAGACAGCACTTCCCTGGTTTCTGGGCAAGAATATGCCGGCTTTGATTCCAGGTAATGGTCTCAACTATTTTCCTTTCTGCCCTAGTTCTTGCCAGCGGATAAGTGGGCTAAATGCCATGTCTTTCCACCCATCTTTGTAGAAAGGATGAATCTGAGTCAGCTCCAGAAATGAGGGGTTTTTTGTTTTTTGTTTGTAGAGCTTGCTACGTTGCCCAGGCTGGAGTGCAGTGGCTATTCACAGGTGCTATCATGGCACTGTACAACCTCAACTCCCAGGCTCAAGTGATGTTCCTGCCTCAACCTCCCAAGTTGTTGGGACTACCACCGCACAGGCTACCACCCACAAGAGTGGGTTTGGTATGGCCAACACTTAGCATATTTCAATACTCACATGGGGTAGTCTGAAAAGGCTGGAATAAACTCAGTTTCCCAGAAATCATAACTGAATGGAACTGAAATAATGAACATCCATTCTAAGGACTCACTATTGGTTCCCTTCTCTGCTTGCTAAGAGGCATTAGCCCTCCTAAGAGTCATTACTAAAAAAACAGAGCAGACTCACAAAAACAGAAAATACCAAAAAAAAAACCAAAAAACATAATTTATATCCTCACTGCTTATAGGTAACATCCTGGTTAGCTGAACTTCAAATTCATAAGTACAATAACTTTATTAACTCTAATTACATGCATTTAACTGTAACCTGTTTTGAAATGTCTAGTTAATTGTGCTCACATGGGTCATTCGGTTACGGACACAAACGAGACACCTATTCAGTGCCAAAGACTGTGCTTTTCTCAAGTGCATCAAAAAAGGGTGCTCCTGTTTCTGACTCATTCATTAGAAACCATATTTTGAGTATCCACACAACCATTCCCTTTTTCAATTTCTGTACAGTATTCAATAAGTTGCATGAGATCTTCAACACTATTATAAAGTAGGCATCGTATTAGATGACTTTTGCCCAACTGTAGGCTGATGTAAGTGTTCTGAGCACATTTAAGAAAGGCCAGGCTAAGCTGTGATGTTCAGTAGGATAGGTGCATTAAATGCATTTTGACTTATGATATTTTCAACTTAGGATGGGTTTATCAGGACATAACCCCATCGTAATTATGACTAAAAAGCTGTCTTCAAATTTTTAATAATTCAATTCAGTCCTATCCTTGGTCCCCTAAATTCATTGTGAGCCATGTTTTCATCATTCTTTGTACATTGGCCCCATAATACTTTGAGCTATTATTATCATTATTATTATTATTATTATTATTACTATTTGGCAGTGGACAGGCCTTCACCCAGCGAGACTGGTGGTCCTTAACACGTCCGTGACCCCAGTCACTTTTCAGATCAAAGAAAGTCAGATACCTACTCTCTAGAAATAATTCACATGCTTCACATGCTATTTCACCTGTAATTTTAGGAAATGTAGTGAAATGTTGCATCCCTCTTAAGCAACCTTTTTCTGTTAAGGCCAGATAGTAAATATTTTAGGCTTTGTGGGTCAAGAGGCAAAACAATGTATATTGTGTAGGTACATATATAACAAGTGAAAAAAAAAATTCTCACAAATTTTAACTGATAAAATCCAAAATATAATAATAATAATTGAGTACTATTCTTTTGTAATACAGGTCTACGAATGAGAAGAATGGACTTGGGGAGAGAGGATTTCGCTTAACTGGGATTCCAAGTTAGTATTCCCGATCATCAGATCAACTGCAGATGTTTGTTTGCAGAAACCATTCTTAGTTTAAGGGCCTTAAAAGCATAGGCAATGGGCTTTACTTGGCCCAAGGACCAAGGTTTGCTAACCCCTGCTCTAAACAACTAGACATCCAGGTCTAGACGATCTTCAGGAGGCCCTGCTGGGACTGTGCACAGGGCTGGCCACCTCTAGATGCTGTCCATGGCTCTGGACCATGGTGGCAGGAAAAAAGCCCACAGAGCAGCCACCCCCAAATCTGGGAAGGATTCCTGATGCAATGTTCCCAAAGCAGAGCTGGCTGGCTGCTGAATTGGGGCCACATTCCTATTGCTCAGAGCTGCGACCAGCAATGCACAGTATACTAAATTCTATTAACCTACATTCTATGACCTCAATAGAACTTTCTCAATAATCAGCAAGAATAAAAATTCACATGGAAAGAAATTCCTTTGCCCAGTGTTTGAAAATGGAAATATAAAAAGCATATCAGTGAGTAAGGCTTTTTAATGAATAAAATTGTTTTCTTAATCTGCAGTTATCTTTCAATCAATACTCCCAGAATCTTTAAAAAAAAAAAAGAAAGAAATCATATTGCAAATTTCAAAGAGCTTAGAATAAATCACAATAAACTAATCAACAGGCAGTGTTCAGCAGAAATAATTATGTGGAAATGCTAGCTGTGCCCTCACACAGTTCATCTCTTTCTACTTAAACCATTCCATAGTAACCAGTCACAAGAGAAATGTAATTCTATATAATGTTTTCAGGCCTAAAATGTACAAAAAACTTAGGCCACGAAGAAGGGTCATAAATGCATTTCATTGTTTTTAGAACCTATCATTTTATTTCAGTATGGTTAAATAAATAAATAAATAAACGCAACACTCTCCGCCGTCTAGATCAGCTGCTCGATTCCAATGGCAAACTTGATGCAAGTTCTCCACCTAGTGGATGTTTTGGAAACTGTGTAATAAAATTAAAATGTGCACGTATGTTTGCAATACAGAGACCAAGAGAAGTAGAAAGCATTCTGTATGTCAATCAGTGACTTCCTATGGAATGTTCATCTTTCTTCTTTTCTATTTTTCCTCTTCCTTTTGTGTCTCTTTCTTGCTGTCTTCTTGTCTTAGGGCCGGTTTCCCAGGAAGGACTGAAGGCAGATATTTGCAGACAGGAGGTTAATCAGGGCGTGCGGTCAGGAAGCGAGGAAGTGAGGGCAGGGGCAGCTGAACTGTGGCTCAGGTGCGACCGAATCCAGCGGGATCCGCCTGCCACAGGTGGCCACTTGGAAGGATCGTGCCGTGTCGGGGCTCAGCCCTGGTCTTGGGTGGACACTCGCGGCACGGAGGCTTAGGTGAGTGGGCCCCCGCGTGACCTGGGCTCTGGCGTCACAGCTCTCCGCTCCGCAGTGTGACGAGCACTGGGGGGGCCAGTGCAGGGCTGGCGGGCCGCCGCTTCTCTTCCCGCTTGGCCAGAGCCGCGGGCGCGGTGGAGGCTCTGCCGCAGGCTCTCGTGAGAGACACGAAGTGGGCCTTCACACCCGTGCCCGCCACGTGCTCCTTCCCCAGACCTGCTCGTCCCTGGTGACCCACGCTCTCTCCTCGCAGGCCTCTGACCGACGCCCAGCCGCCTGCCTCGATGGCGACTCCACGAGCCATTCTCCTTCTGCGCTGAGCGCGCGACCAGACGCACCACCGACCCACTGCCCCAGGCTTTCAGGGCCAGCCCGAGTGGGGCTGGCGGGCGGCAGCCGCCCCGGGCAGCTTGAGGCCGATTCTAAGCTGATCCATCCAGCAGATGAGCGGGGCCTTCCTCTGCCTGCGCCCGCGGGCCAGGCGACGTCCCCAGCTGTGTGCGGTCCAGAGTGATGTCCCCAGCTGCGTGCGGTCCGGGCGACGTCCCCAGCTGTGTGCGGTCCAGAGCGATGTCCCCAGCTGCGCGCGGTCCGGGCGACGTCCCCAGCTGTGTGCGGTCCAGAGTGATGTCCCCAGCTGCGCGCGGTCCGGGCGACGTCCCCAGCTGCGCGTGGTCCAGAGTAATGTCCCCAGCTGTGTGCGGTCCGGGCGACGTCCCCAGCTGTGTGCGGTCCAGAGTGATGTCCCCAGCTGTGTGCGGTCCGGGCTACGTCCCCAGCTGCGCGCGGTCCGGAGTGACGTCCCCAGCTGCGCGCGGTCCGGAGTGACGTCCCCAGCTGTGTGCGGGCACCAACCAGGGGAGGGGCCGGAGCGCCCCTGGTGAATGAATGGGGGTCTGAGATCCCACCTGGAACTGACCCTCGCGCTATAACCCCGAGGTAAGGTCATGAAATGAGGAAGAGAATGAGAAGAGGAAGAACAGGAGAGTGATAAGAAATGATCAAAAGGAAGAAAAAAACCCACGGGAGGATGCCTCCGGGGGGTGTCTTGATAAAGGACTAGTGAGCAGAGAACCAAAAACTTTCTCCACTTGCCTTCCACATGTCCTGTTTCTGACTTCCCACCTACCTCTTTCCCGCCCCAAGCTCCTTTGGTTCCTCACTTCCTGGACCTCGAAGTGTGGGGGTGTCGCCCAGCCCAGCCCCCAAGCCACTTCTCTTTGCTTCCCACACTCGGTGACATCATCCCGTCTCACGGCTGTAAGGGTCTTCTCTAACCGTCTCTGTGCTTCCACGTCCCAAACTTACGTCCCCAGCGCAGCCCTGCCCCGTCCCCCAGACCCGCACGCCCAGTCTGGACGCCCAGCAGGACGCTCGCAACTTAGTGGCACACAGCTAAGCTTCCGGTGCCCCCGGTCTTCCACATCTCAGTAAATGATAACTGTTTTTCCCAGTAGCTCGGGCCAAAAGCGTAGAGTCTCCCTGGACACCCCCTTTCCTCCTCACCCCTTATCTCACCTCCTATTTGTGATCAAATCATCTCAGCAACATTTGTCCACATCCAGCCGCTTACCACTCCTACAGCAAGCGGCTGGTTTAAGCCACCATCCACTCCTGTGCTCCTGTCGCCTTGTCTCTGCCTTTGCCCCCCTTCCTTCCATTCTCCACACTGCAGCCAACATCGCGCTGTGACACAGAAGTCGAGTTGTGTCACTTCTCTGCTTATAGCCCCCACCGGCTCCCTGGCATGCTCCTGGTAAAAACGCTCGCGGGTACCTGGGCCTGGGTCCTGGGGGGGCTGACCTCTCCGCTCCTCAACAGCGCAGGGGAGGCCTTCATGCTCGCCCTTCCTGCTGCCTGGCACTCTGCCCCACAAGTCCACAGGTTCCCTCCCTCACCTCTTTCAGATCCCCGGTCAAATGTCACCTTTTCAGAAAGGCCTTCCCTATAATACCTAATTTAAAATTGAAGGAAAAAGATACCTCTCCTTTTCTCCCTTGTGGTAGATTGCATGGCGCCCCCCTCAAAAGATATATCTAAATCCTGCCCCCAGAATCTGAGAATGTGCCCTTATTTGGAAAAGCATCTTTGTAGATTTAGTTAAATTATGGGTCTTGAGATGAGAGCATCTTGGATTACCCAAGTGGACCCTAAATCCAATGACAAGTGTCCTCATATGAGACAGAAGAAGGGCCGGGTATGGTGACATGCACCTGTTATCCCAGCTGATTGGGAGGCTCAGGCAAGAGGATGCTTGAGGTAAAGAGTTTGAGGCTGTAGTGAGCTATGATTTTGCCACTGCATGGCAGCCTGGGCAACAGAGCAAGACTTTGTCTCAAAAAAATATAGGCGGCCATGTGAAGATGGCCATGCAAAGATATATCACTATCTATAAGGTGACTGTAATCAATAATTTACTATATATTTTCATATAACTAGATGAGCAATTTTGAAGGTTTCCAACACAAAGAAGTGATAAATGTTTGAGGTGATGGATATGCTAATTACCCTGAATAGATCATTACAGATTGTATTCATGTATTGAAATATCATACCATATTCCATAAATATGTACAATTATGTGCCAATTAAAAACAATAATAAAAGACAAATGATAGGAAAAGATATATCACTATCCAATATAAAATTTATTTATCATGTTTGTTGACTTTCTACCCTACTAATCCGTATCCTACAGAAGGCAGAGATTTTTATCAGCTTTGTTCACTGTATTCCCAGCATCTAGAACAGTGTCTGGTACATACTAAGCATTCAAAAAATATTTGTTGATTAAGAAAACAAATAGATGAATAAATGAATGACAGGTCCCCAAATATTGTATCTCAGTAAATAAAAGAATAATGGATCTATTGATAAAATCAAGGAAAAAAGCCAGACATAGTGGATCATGTCTAATCCCATGACTTGGGAGGCTGAGGCGGGAGAATCGCTTGAGGCCAGAAGTTCAAGACCAGCCTGGCAACATAGCCAGATCCTGTCTCTACAAAAAATTTAAAAATCTGCCAGGCATGGTGATGCACACCTGCAGTCCCAGCCACTCAGGAGGCTGAGGCAGGAGGATCACTTGAGCCCAGAAGCTCAAGGCTGCAGTGAGCAGCACTACACTCTAGTCTGGGCAACAAAGCAAGATCCTATCTCAAAAAACATATTTTTTAATTAAAAAACAAATAAATCGTAAGTTGAACTGAGATGGGAGTAGCTACATAAGTCTGATGTGGGACTCGCTGAGCGTGATGTGACAGAACCACAAGTCTAAATGCACATACTTTCACCAACTTAGGATTTACGTGTCCAGTCAGCTCCAAACACTTTTGGAAGATCTACACTATTACCTTAATAAGATAATTAATAAGACATAATAAGACAAAAACAGAAGAAACACAACAAGCACTGGAGATATTGAACTGATATTTGTGTGACATGTCAGTGTTAATGATACACAGATTAGCAATTAAATTTCAGATATAAGCCCTTCAAAATCCCATTTTAACCAGCCTCTCTTGCACTGGATATTTTATTCTCTAAATTCAAAATTGATTTGTTGATTGGCTGCTGGACTGCCTTCCCCTTTTCCCCTTTCTATGTACTCAGGCAATCCTAGTGATCAGGAAGGCAGCCAAGATTCAAACTGCGTACAGGATTCAAATTGCAACCTGTCTAGAAAAGGTCCGCAGATCCAGAGGAGAAGCTGAAATTGTGGAACTTCCACCCACGAGCACTGGCCTAGGAGCACACGGCCTCCTTAAAGAGCTGCCCTCAGCCTGCACCCCGCAGGGAGAGGAGGCTCTGATGGGCCAGCACAGCTTTAGGACTCGCAGGACCACATGTGGGGTCAGGATGCTATCCCAGCCCCGGCCCACCTAAATCCCACCCCCTCCCCGCCTTTTGCCACCCCCTATTTAATGAGGCACTTCCACTAGCAAGGATGTTCTCCAAAATAACGTTTGCCATTTTATAAACACTCCACTTGCTTGTTGAAACAAGAATATCTCACGATAGTTCACAGATCATAAAGGTGTACTAGAGCTCCTTTCTGCATTTGAAGTTTTTATGTCATCTTTCAAATGCCAAAGTGGCAGAAAGAGAGATACACGTGGAGGTCCGTTTTCTTTATTTTGCATGATCTGCAGAGCCTCAATGATGACCTTGCAGAAGCCAAAGCGCTCAAGCTGTTAACATTTGGTCATAGACCTTTTACACAGGCAGGTCGCGTGCTTCCGCGGACCTACCGCCACAGTCCCCGGCTGGGCCCAGACGACCCATCTCCTTGGTGGCCAGCAGGAGGCAGTGTCACCACACAACTTCCACCTGACCCCCAACGCATTTTTTAAAACATCAGAGTTGAAAAAAAAAGTCCTCATAAAATATTAGAGAAAATATTAGCTTCATGGATGAAATCTGCATTTGGTATTGATTTTTAATGGACATTGAGTGAAGAGATGAAACATATTTTCTTACAAAATCCGACTTTAATTCTTACTTTAATTAATAACTCAATACCCTGACACATAATAAAGCCATTTTCCACTTTTTAAACTTCTGACTTTATTTTAACGCCAAAGTTAAAACAAAGTGAAAACTTGAATTGCTCTTAATTATTGTATTTTTCACCATGAGTGTTAGATTCCCCTCGTATATTTCACATGGCTTTAATAACTTTGCAGTTATTAGCATCTCCTTTATGCAAAAGTGATGTTTTCTTTTTTAAGATAAAACATCCAGGACCTATCATGGAAGATAAGTAACTTCTGAAGCTTCAAAACATTTACAGGTAAAAGTAGTCAGTGCAGACTGCTACTGTAGCCCCAACCCAGGGAAAGGCAGGAAACATTTCTTTATAACACATTTAGCCATGGATTGCATAAAAAATAAGACCCCTTTGGGGCCAAATTGTGGGAGTAATTTTTCTCAAAAAAGGAAATATATATTTATATTTTCTTTTGTGGAAAATATTTATTATACATTTATATTAAATCTCAACTACATTTTTTAAAAAGATATGTAAATCAAAATGTTGAGTATTTTTTCTTGTAAACATCATGCTTTGACCCACCGGAAAGCAACACTGTGAATTGACAAGTCAACTTGGTTACTGGCCTGGAGTCACATGCTAGGCATTAAGAAAGACTTCCTCAGGGCTCCCAATGCTGTACTTCCGGTCCCCTCTCCTGGAGTAATCAGGACCTGTGGAGCTTGAGTTTCTTCCCTCTGGGCATTTTGCTAAACCACATGGTGAGTCACGTGGTGCTGCTAATGGGTGACAATTAATGCATTATGTCTTCAAGGGCATTTGCATTGCTTACGATTAGTGGCTCTCTACTGGCACCTGGCGGTGACATTAATCCTGGGGCTATCTGTAAACCTAGAGGAGATATTCATGGCCAGGAGATGTCTAACACCATTGAAGGTTTTCCTGCCTGACCAGAAGATCAGCACCAGCCACCCTGAGAGCCGGAATCACAAGCTAAGCCAAGAAGAAGGCAGCCAGCAGGTGGCCAAATTTCATTCTGATTAAATTGTGGGCTTAAAGCATAGAATTAGAATGATCCATAATCAGTTTCCAGGTGGGCATCAGTTACTAAATGTGAAAAGTATGCCATTGGACAAGTTTTTAATTTCCCTAAACCCCAATTTCTTCATGTGTATAAGGGGATAATATTGGTGGGCGTTTGTTAGCAGTCAGAGTAATGATGCTAAGATCTTAACACAGAGCCTGGAACACAGAAAGTGCCCAATAATGGTAGCTATTATCATTTCGGGTTATGAGTTGAGACTAGTTCTAGAGTCATAACATCTCAGACTAGAAAGGACCTTCAGGTCTCCCAGTCCAATGACAACTCTCCAGCACTCAGCCAAGCAGTTGTGTCTTTGCAAGACATCTTCCAAGATAGTCAACATTTTACATAAACTCTTCCATCAGGACTATTGCCAATAAAGGGCAAAGTAGAGGGAAAGAGGTGTGGAGATACATTTGCCAAAATGGGCTATATGAAAGTGTAACCCTATTTTTCTTATGTGATTGGGTTTCTGAGCACACAAGTGTTGCAAGTTATCCTACTGGAACACAATGGAAACTCAAATCTAAGGTGATACTTTCTGAAAGGCACTTTGAAAACAAGCTCCCTCCCAAATCTTTTATAAACCACAGCTGTTAAAATCCAGAGGTATCCAGTTAGGTATTAGAGATTTCTTTCCAACACAACTAATAAATGAGAGGCTGCTCTGAAAACCGCGGCATGCATCGCTTAAGCCTGGGAGTTGCACAGTGACACTCAGCTGGTGCCTGGCACCGGCAGAGATTATCATTGAAGCATTGAAGGTTACGCCAGGAATCGCAACATTGCCACCTGCGTTCTGGCTGGGAATCACAAGCTTGCCAGGAAAAGGCAGTGCAAGCCTTGCGTGTCCTTCCCCAGTGCCGGGGGCTGGAGGACACCATTACATGCCAGCTCCACCTCCCACCTGCAATTCGACCTTGTTCCTGAGTCATTGTCCTCCCTGAGCCTCGGTGTGTTCACTCGCCAAGGAGTGACAATCGTGAGCACCTGCCGTCCTTACCGGATTATTAAGGGCTTTAATGAACTTCATTTTCATAAAGTGCTTTCATATCCTTGACAGAACATTGCTTTCCAGCGTAAGGAGGAAACCATTATCGTTACTGACCTCAGAGCCAAAAGAGAGAGAGTTTTTCAGGCTTGCTTACTAATAAAATGGTAGTGTCTGCCAATTATATAATGCTTTTCATCACACACACACACACAAAAATTTTAGTGCTCACAATTTTGAAATATGAATTTGTGGTACTATTCAATGTAACTAGTTACAGTTAGGAGTTGCTCTAATGATTCTAAGTACAGATGGCCAGAGCTGGCCTCCGCTTCGCAGTCCATTAAACAGCCCTCCCTTTGACTAACAGGCCTCTCATTGTGAGGCAGCCCTGGTCTCAGCTGATGTCAAAAGCCCCATTCTATCCTGGGCGGGTTGTTCTCATAAAAGATGCCCACACGCATTCTGCTGCAGATAGGGACAGGGCTACTCTGCAGATGTCATGGCCACCACTACTGTCACTTTTGCTCATCACATGATCTTGGGTCTCTTTCCAGAGACTTGCACAAAGCTCGATTCAGAGTCTGCCTGTGGCCAAAGCACACTTGGCCTGCAGATGGACAGGGGAGAAGAACAAGGCGCCCCAGTGCTCCCCCACACTTGCCCGGGAAAGCCTGGGAATTCTTGGCTTC